AAAATAAAGCGTAAGGTACTTACTTCTGGTAGAAAACCACTGAAAATGGAGTGCAAGGCACAGTGGAAAAGAAAGAACTCTCCTAGGTACATATACATGTCAAAAGCTAATGGGTGACTTCACATTACAGTTTTATTTATAAGTTTACCTGCATCATCAGTTTACAGTTCTAGGCAAAGCTAATTTTGTACAGAATTGGACCCAGGCTAGTGAAGCAGAGAGCAGACAGACAAGGGTGAAACAGATCCCACATCTCAAAGACAATCACCCTTCACCCTTAAGCCAAATCTAAATCATTGGCTATTGAAGATCAAATTTAAAGAGATTCCTAATAACATTTAAACAGAGAAAATGCTGTGTGTCTTCATAACCAAAGGAAAAAGTTCTAGCCTTTTTTAAGATGAAAGAATTTCCCCAGGGGGCTGAGAATGGGGAATGTCTGTCCAAGAAACAAAATATCACTTGAACATTTGAAAGCTATTACAATGGAAGTTAAAATATTTGAAACAGAGCTGTTGTTAACACAGCAGTGCTATCGTTCACAAAAAAGGCTAAAATATTCCAGCTGCACTAACTTTCTTCTCCCAAGTCTCCCCATACCATCTTCAATATCCCAATACATCTTTGACATTTGACACTACCATACATCCTCCTCTTTGTATAATAACTCCCTATGAGGTCTTGCTATTTCTTTGCTAAGTATGATGATAGTGAGATACAGAAATTTCAAGTATTAGAGCCTTTTTCTAAAGATGGGTAGTACTAAAAAATTCCACCTGACAACTTGCTTCTTATTTGAGGTGAGCCAAACTAGCTCTGCTGTGTCTAGCAATTGCTTTCTTTGATGGACAAAGAAATTTATATGTCAAAATAAAATTTTAAAAAATCCCATCTGAAAAACCACAGAAGCCAATGAGGTCCTGGGAAAATACTTTTCACAATAATTGTACTGTTCACATTGCCTCTTTGAGCAACAATAACACATGCTGAGGTCAGAGGTTTCATCTGCACAAGGAAATCAGAAACAAAAGCCTGAAGAATCACAGCTCCAGAAAGTTATGCAGTCAAGAGGTATTCTGGGTCTTAAATTCATTCAGAAGATTTTACCCACACAGACATGGCCCTAGCATGCATCATGACTGCTCATATGGCAGAATCCTGGGCTAGTACCAGTTTTGGTGGAGGGATGAGTTACTTATGGAAGAAAATACTCTTTTCAATCATAAATTATTCTCATGGATTTCTCAGTCTTGGAATATTAGCACCAAGGGAAAAGGCAACAATGATTGCACAAATTATTCGTATAAAGACTCTGATATTAAACTAGACACATATTTAAAGACTGTCAGTGAGAAAGTTTATTGATCAGTAAGTGGAATAATTCATAAGGAAATGCTGCCTACTGATGTCTATTTACTGCACTGCATGTAACTGATGATCAGCTCAGATTAAGGAAGGTGCATGGACACAGCAGAATACACAGGCTCTCCATACCTCACCTTTCAGCCTGAGCTTGGAAGCATGAAGATTTCAATCCTATAAACATGCAGTGCCTCAAAAAACCTATTTCTTATCCTGGTCAAAGAGGCACAGACACTGAAAAAGCCACATTTTGTCTACTACTGAAAGATACCCTTCCCCCAAAGACCAGAATCCACAGTCCTCCAGCTTTTTCTCAGACAAACTGTTGAGAGTTTAGCCAGGAAGATCCTTTAACACAAGAGGCAGTCTGCAAGCAGTAGAAGACGTACACCTTGACCCAACGTCCTAAGAATACATCCTTTCATTATTCTAATTGTCATAGCAATAGAAGATTAAATTTGTGTGGCATTTCTGTAAACTAACAGATCATTATATTTCCAAAGAGTGTATACTGTTATTTGCTACCATTATCACTTGAGGAAAATCTGCCACTTGCAGCATAAGAGAACACAGACATAGTCAGCTCAAAGAAAGATGAAAACCTCATAGGAAATGCATCATCCTCTTATGTGGAAGAAATTAAAATAGAAATGTTTCTGACGGACAAAGCTGGCACAAGCTATATTAGAGATTTCTGTCTCATCTAGAGGGTTCCTGCAGTAGGGAAAACAAAAGGACCTAGCTTGAACTGTGGAGAATGAAATGAGTAGAAGAACTTACTGCAATACTAGAAAAATCCAGCAAAGATTTGTTATTTACAAAAGTATAAAGGATGGTAAATAGTATAAATTTGTACCTGCATAAGCTTAGTAACTAAGCAATAAAAGGGTGTGAGCAACATTTTTAAACATATTATGAACAAAAAATTCCTTCAACAATACAGTTTAAAAACAATCATGAGAGAGTATTATGAGACTTGTGCTTCTCTTTGCAACAGCTAATATGATACATGCATGTCTGTGGAAAGACAACTGAGTGTATCACCTCAGTTCCAAGCACTCCTTGTAGACAATGAGAAATGTACTGATGATTTCTAAAACAACATTTCCCTCCTAATACAGTGGAACACCCTTTGTAATGGAAAATTCATTCTAACATTTTCAAGCTAATAGTTTGTTTTCTTCAACATTAGCATTGTTGGACTCTGGCTCCAGAACTGAATTTCATCCAGCTGAAATAATGTCAAAATCAGTATTCCTACTGTGCAAGGGAAGTTTAAATCCTGCTGGGAAAAAAAAAAAAATAAGTACTGTTAACTTCTTCTGGTAGGGAGAAAACAAAAAAGACAATGTAAATAAAATGCTATGAAAACTTTAGTTCTTAAACACTAACTTCAAAAACAGTAAAAATTCACAAGTTAACTCTACCTTGACACATGAAGGTTTGGATTGCACACAATCCTTGCATTAACTACTTGAATACTAGTTATATGCTAACAGCTATTTATGCACATGTTATTAATGCTCAGCTGTAGACATATGGGAGAAAACTTTCATATAAATACTATGAATGTCTGAAAGGCTATTTCTTCTTAAAGGATGAAACCAATCCCATGTTAGCCTTTTTCCTTAATATTGTGCATATCTACATTGTATGTTGAATGTAATAATAAATCTACTGTTAAAAGACAGTGCTTAAACTACACTGATACCTACAGTTTGTGTGCCATGCTCCCTAGCCAACAAATTTACATGAACTGTATTGCCAACCTCCCCATAAGACTCTATTTGCCAAACCTGGCATTTTAAAAGTGAGACAGGCAGATAAGAGGTCTGTGTCAATTTACACTAACAGAAGGATAAATTTCAAAGGTCTTAACACTATGCCACTCAAATAATTTAAGTTTTTCTGCTAATTTCACCAAAAAAAACAAGTCTGTGTGCATTGATGTTACATGAACAAAATAGTTTTGCCAGTGTAAGGGCTCAGTCTCTGCACTTAGAACCTGCAGAACTTGCCCACTGCTAAATGCTATATTGAGATTGACCGGCACAGCCCACCATAAATTGGTTTGTTTGCTTGTTTTTAATTTAAACATGTTAATAAGGTGTGAAAGCTTGTATTGTTAGTGCCAAAGCTCTGAGAAATGTCCACTTCAAAAAACTGTGGACAGTTTTTAGAAAGAGGCTGTAAGAAAGTAACAGAGAGATCTTGCTGAGACAGATGTACCAGTAACAGCCTCATGATACTTCCTTCAGTAAAGGAAGTCACTTAATGGTGATTATGCATAACAAATGCAATTTTTTTGCATCTGGAAGCAGCTTAAGTTTCATCATATCTCCTCAAACCAGGAAAAAGTCTCTAAAACAACACATTTAACCTGAAAAACCACCATGCATCCAAAAGAGAATAATTTCTCATCATGCCAATATTCCATAAGAATGTTTCACAGTTTGTGGGTTAACGAAAAGTTATTACACTGGAAGATTTTTAAAGCTCCAACAGAATTTGATGGAACAATTGCAGATGCTGGGTTCCCGTGCCTTGGAGGGACACAATTTTATACAGGATATATTCAACCAAGAGCAACCATCAGTGTAGCAAGTAAAATGCTAGATATAGCTTGTGTAAACCATAAGAAGCTAAAAGACACTTAATTTTAGAAGGGTACACCTGTGTCTAAATGAAACTATAGAAAACACATTATTGCAAATATCAGCTGCTATTACATTGTCCTAAAGTATCTTTAGTACTATAAAAACTGGTGTAACACAAGCACCTACTACATGAAACTTGCAAGAAGTGAACATTTCTCATAAGCAGCTTAAAAGACTTTAGAGCTTCAGCATCTCTGAAACCTCATTCCATTTAGTTACCTTAGAAAGGAAGGATGCTGGTAAAGACGTCTTGCAAAACCTTGAGGTGCTCCTTCAAACCAGAGATCATCTGAAGCAATTACTGGTTTGAATTCTAACATGTATTTTGCCTAAGTCTACAATCATACTTAAGATCTTACCAAAAAAAAAAAAAAAAATACTGAGGCAGGACAGGAAAGAGTTCGTAATCTGAACACCATCACCTGCCATCCCTCATCTTATTTAAAATTGTGTTGAGATCGAGCGTTTTCTGACAGCGACATGACATGAAGCCGCACACTGCCGCAGCCTGCCTCCCCTCCCGCAGCCGCAGCCCTGCGTCCGTCCCCGCTCCGACCGACCTCGCCGCACAAGTTTACGAGGAAAGGGGCAGTATGTGGCATCCTAAGCGAGATTTACTGCTCGGGCTGTTACGCCAGTCCGGCAGTAGAGGAACAGGCTCCCTTCCCACCCCGACACCAGGTACAGCGCGCACTCCGCGCCCGCCGCCCCACAGCCGCTCACAGCGCGGGGCCGCCGGAGCCGCGTCCCGCCGGAGCCTCTGCCCGCACCTGCCCCGCTCGCTCCCACCCACTGGCACGGGCAGTGCAAGGCAGCGCGGTAAGGGACGGGCACGGAGCCGCCGGCAGCGCGGTAAGGGATCTCCGCGGAGCCCCGCGGCAGCGCGGCCGCCTCCCCAGCGGCGTGGAGCGCCGAACCGCGCCGAGCGCTTCGCCTTCCCGGCGCAGGGCGGCCGCGGGGCGGGCAGCCGGGAGCACCCACCGGGGATGGCCAGGTTGGTGAGCGGGGTGCTGTGGAGGCTGCCGGGCAGCGCTGCCATCCAGTCGGCGAAGAGCAGCTCGTTCTTCCCCTGCGACGAAGCCATGCTGCCGCCGCAGCCGTACCGCCGCCGCCGCTCGCTCCAACTCGCCCAGTCCCGGCCACGGCCACCGCCACCGCCACAGCCCCGCCGAGCCCGGGCCCCGCCCGCCTGGCACCGCCTCCCCCCGCCCCGCCGAGCCCCCGCCGCCTCTCCGCGGCGCGGCGTGAGAGCCCTCGGGGCCGGCACCGAGCGGGGCCGGACGGACGGACGGCACCGCCGGGCTCGGCCCGGACACTCGGGGGGCGATTGCGCCCCAAGTACCGCGGGGGTCCGGGCAGGGAGCGGCGTCACGGCCCGGTCGTGGCGGGTCCGCACCGCCCCGGCCCCGGGCCCCAGCGCCCCGGGCCGGGCCGGGAGCGGCCAGCAGAGCCCGCCCCGGGAGCGCGGGGCTGCCGCCGGCCGGGCGTCTGTGCCTGGCATGGCGCTCGGGGCCACGGCTGGCGGCTGGTGGCCCTGGGCCTCAGCAGAACCTCCCTGACCTTGGCGATGGTTCGGCTGAATGCCCCGCGCAGGGACCCGACATCCCTCGCAGCCGGATCCCGGGCGGCTTCGTCTGCCCCTGATACGAACGTCTCTTGTTGCAATGGGTTGTTTACACGAAAAAAAAAATAAAAATCTGTGCACTGTACTTGGGCATGCCGTGAAGATCTAATTTTTTGGTAATAATTTTTTATTCTCCTTTGAGCATGATCCAAAGTAGTATCTTTTATTATCATCTGTAGCCTGTCTTTGGAGAAACATCTTAGCGTTGGCAGTAAGGAAGCATTTGCGTGGCTGCCTCAGGATGGATGAATGAATGAACCTTATAAAGCTCTGTGAGCCATTTTGAACTGTTAGAACAAACGTGGCCTTTTCACCTTCAGCATTACCCATTTTTGTGAAAATTGTTTATATATGTGTAGAAGTTCATATGGTGGAGCTGTCAAAAACAGTGCCTAGAGAGAGCCATGATTGAGGCAGGTCACTTTATCAGTTCACTTTGAATTCTTATGAGGGTCAGCTCTGGTTCTGCAGCTTGTGTTTTTACTCAAACCCTTCTATAACAGCTGGGTTTGAAAATAAAACTTCAGGGAACAACTAATAATAACCCTCCATTCTCTTTCTGTCTAAATTTTCCAGAGCAAGTATCATGAGAAGCTCATCCTTTGGCCACAATTTCGTGAAAAGTGAGTGACTATTTCTGAGGTATTTAAATAAAGGAAAGTTTGCTGATTCACTTTTTGCAATAGAAATAGCTCTTGAGGAAGGATTTGTCTGGGGAAATGTGATCGTATGGTTGACCTTGGGAGAGATGTTGAGTCTGATTTGAACAATACATAAAAAGGAGGGAGGAGAAAGCAAACAGCCACCAAGGCCTGTCAAGTTTTTGCAGTCCTGCATCCTGTATATGAAGATGCTAATCTGCCCCTTCCAAAATCCCTGGTATTAGCAAGCATGAAAAAAAGGACAAATCCACATTCTGGATATGAAAACATAAACCTCACTAAAAACATGGAAGATATGACATAAAGGTGGAAGATGTTACATTACATCATCTTGAAAGAATGGAAGAAATTTTAATAAAAATTTCAGGATTTTTAAAGAGCATTCCAGTAAGGCACAATTAATGTTTCTATCAATATGATTAAATCAAATCTGATTTTTTATTTAAGGGACAAAGTTGTTCATTAATTGTAATGGTCCCCTGGAAAATTTCTGATGGACTTTCATCAATTTCACTATGTGGCCTACCTTTTCTAAGAGAAAACTGAAGTATACATCTTTGTCAAAAATTAACCATGTTAGTGTTGCTGTTGATCTCTTATGGTCTCTGAAGCTTTGGGGATAGCTCAGAGCAAAATCAAACAAATACCACCAAACTCATCACTTTAAAATTAATTAATAAGTAAAATAATGTCTAAAACTGCCTTTCAGTAGTGCTTTCTACTCTGATGAAGACCTGTAAATATCTCTCTCTGTACTGACTAGAAACCTGTTGGCATTTGCTTCTGCAAGTAATTCAGGCTTTTGTATCTTCTTCTTTTTTTTTTTTACATGCGCAGAATAAGATACTTCATAGTCTGGATTTTGAAACCATGGATACTCCGCTTCATGAAAACTGGCCCACTCTAAAACTTTGGTCTCACACAAATCATGCTTGAAGAGGTCTGCCTCTGTTTGTAGTGCAAAGTAACTGCTAAGATAGCAGGCTTAGAATATGTCATTGAGTGTCTATGAACTTGAGAATCACAGGCTTAAATCACGGGTGGGATAGGAAAGGAGACTTTTATGGGACAGAAAGTGAGAAACATTTATAGAGCAAACTAAGAAACACTGACTTGGAAGCTTTGACTTCAAATAGAAAGGTATTTTTTTTAGCTTTTCAGTGGTATGAAAAGCATTTGTCTGTGTATCTGCTTGGGAGGTGTTTAATAAAAAAAAAAGGCAAACCATTTATCTTGATTAAAGAACAGCTTATTGTTGTTTAGTTTGAAGCTGTTATTTGACTAATTTTCACTGATTTATAAACAACGATAGCCTGTAAATCAAAGGCAGAATATCCATACAAGCTTTTATCCCTACTTAAAAACAGTAAGAAACAAAAAAAAAATCACATTTTTGGCTATATTATTTAAATCCTTACACATAGCAAGTCTGAACTGTTAAAGAAAGTAGATTCCAGGAATGAAATAACTTAAAAGCTTAAAAATATCAGGTAAAATGAAAATGAGAAGCAAGATACAAGAAAATACCATCTTTGCTCTTTCATTCACAGCTCTGCTGAGCTCACTGAAGATGCCATGAAGAGGTGGAAAATTGAAATTGTGCTATCTGTTCATCATGTACTGTGTTCTCTCCAGTCTGCAGTGTGTATGAATAGAGACACCTCTGCTTCCATGGAATGGCAAAATAGAGTAATTTAGCCAATAGGAATGATGCTTCAGCATTCAAAACTAATTACACTATTAAAAAAGACTTAATGTTGGTTTTACTCACCTAAAAAAATAGCATGTTTAGCTGTATACATTCACTGTTACACTTTTTCATTTTAGCAATCATAATTTGCTTTTTCATATGTCCTTGGCATCTATTTTAATCATGTGAATAACAAAGGACTAACAGGATCTTTTTCTGTAAGTTACATAAAGTACATTCCATTCTGAAAGGTAAAGAAAAAATTACTTAATGGGGCATTGTATTTCTGTGACTATCCTACTATTTAGAAAATTTATTTATTACTTTAAATATATTGTTAATTAATTCAAAATTAGTCTTGGAACTGAAGAATTAGTATTGTTCAAGTACTTGAACTTTTTCAGTGGATTCTGCTTCTGAAGTTGTTTTCTTCCTCACTCTTACTACCCATTTCTATTATTAGAAGTTTTTAAGAACAAATCCTGGCTGCCATCCCATGTTTGCATCTCTCGTGGCTTTCAGTGACTCTACCAGTAACATGTGGGCAGGAAAGTCCTTCCAGTTGCTTGCAGCTGAGTTGCTAATTATATTTTTGTTACTTGGGAAGACAGTAGATCCACAATATTCTCAATTTTGCTACTTCTCATGGCTAACAGGTATAACAAGTGGGACAAGTACATAAAATCTCAAAGAGTCAAAGTAGATTGACTGAATGAGATAATTTATTCAATAGCCATATGGGTGAATAGAAGTTGTGACAGTTATTTTGTTGTCATTTTATACTTTGTGTGGCTACTTTGAGAATCTCATCCTGCATTCATTAAAGAATCTCTGTTCAGCAGTATTTGTCCTGTCAAAACAGATTACAAAATTCCTCAGTAGTCAGAAACCTTGTAGAAACAGGAAAACAGTATTTTCTTCATTTTATGTGAAAGAATAAATCTGTTTCTGATTTTCAAGCAGAAGAAGATGTGGTTTATTCTGTTCTCTGATTCATTATTCCCTACTAAGAAAAGTGGAGCATCCTTGCTTGTGCTAGTAATGAATCTAAGAAGAAACAATATTTGTTCCAAGCTGCTGACAAATGTCAGCTGGGAAGATGATGGGTTAATATAAAGGTACAACATACTTTTTACTTGCATCCTTTATAACCAAAGCAAAAACATTACAAAAATATACAAAAAATTAAATTATTAAAGTGTATAACAAGACAGTTTATGGTTAACCAAATTCTGGAAGCTTGAAATAAACAGGATAAAAGGCAAATTGGCGTCCGTATCCAGTTCTCAGGTGGAAATCAGTTTAACCTTCGCTACTTTTTCTGAAGAGTGTTTATCATGTTTCTGGAAGAAGGTTTGTTTTGTCTTTTTCTTTTTTAACTTTGTCGAGCAGAATCTTGCTATGTCTCACCTAGCATCAAAGCACACCACTGGCTTTTTTACCTGGTTAAAAACAAAGAGGTTTGGTTGTGTTGGCATTACTGAAAAGACTCTAATGGCATCATCTAGAACAGCAGTGGCAGAACATGAAAAACCCTATTTTCTCAGAACCAGTGCTATCAGATCACAACAAAGTATGCAAATTTGGTGCAGGGAAGGGTGAGAAAGAGATTACTTTTTATTTCTAGACCAACTTGACCATGTCTAAAAGGTTTCTGTAGCAGCTCATGTGTCGCCCTGATTTTGTAAGACTTTGTTAAGCCTTCTGATGTTTGCATTCTTTCAACAAACTTTCTCACACACAGTTCTGTAAATAACCTATGTTTTGCATTCTTTCATGGAGGTGGAAAGAATTGATGGACCCTTGGTCTGTCCAGTGGCATTGGAGAGGTGGCACTGTCACCCTCCAATCCACTGTCACCTTTGGAAAACTATAAATGTTGGAGTCAGAAAATAAAGTTCTTCTTCTTCTTCCTTTTTGTTCCCCTCGAGAGCAGCAGTGTCTGTGTCATCATTTTGTGCCGTATCACAACACTCATGAGCATCTTGTCATGAATAAGTGTTTCTGAGACTTGAAGACCCCATGTTTGGCATGGTTAGGAGCTTGATTCAAGCATTTGAATGTGAGCTCATCCTCTAGGTAGAAAAGTGTTATTTTATTGAAAACAAAAGCAAAATGAGATAGTTTAGTAGTGGCCTTACCACAGG